TTTAGCAATTTTGCCAATTTCACACAAATTTCAAAAGATGCCAATTTCCAAATAGGGTCCAGAATAAACAAGAAAGACATTCCTGGCACTAAAATAACATTTCCTCTGTTCATTAATCACGTCCCCATGCCCCTCTTACATTCTTTTGCTTTCCACTTTGAATTTTTATTCTCGCAAAAGCAGATTTACTGTTATGCAGACTACTGCATTAGTGTAGAAATGGTATAAATAATATCAGCGCACTTGTGAAAAAATATTAGACTCACCAGTTGACGTGTATTGGACGCTTAGCATGATTTGTTTACTTTAGAACTTTGGTAAAAATCGAACATTTCTGCTACTTTGAGCTCAATTTCAAGGTACTTTTCATTGTAAAACCAGTCAAAGTCATCTCAATTTCTGTAAAATGTCTTCCATTCTATAAAATGAGACCAGGAAAACTAGAACACAACAATAAATACCATGCGAAAATACAGTGCAAATTCGCTGTTGTAATCCAAAAACAGTCAAATTTTTTTTCTCATTACGCACTGTGTGCTGCAGGATTTTTTTTATACTGCGCACACTGACCACATAGACCCATTCTTTCATATGTAGGCCTACCAGCTTTCTCTCACAAGATCTGAGGGCGCTAGAATTTAGGCATACTAGTACGTCAAAAGCCCTGGTGCGTAAGTCGTACTAGTACGTCCAAAACCCTTTGACTGTTTCGGTCATATATATATATATATATATACATCTTATGAGCCAATGTGTCTGATGTACAGTAGGGCCCCACTTATACGGCAGGTTAGGTTCCAGGCTACTGCTGTAAAGCGGAAATCGCCGTAAAGTGGAACACCTCTTTTTTCCACTTATAAATGCATACAAATACTAGATAAGTTTACACTAACATACATTAAGATAGCAAGTTTATTCAGGTATACACAGATGCAGTTACATAGATTATCATACATAGCAGCATATGTGTAAAGTATCTAGGATAACCCAAAAAAGTCAGACAGTGTGACTTATTTCCATTGGGGTTAGCAGTAGAACTAGGCATTAAAAATCAATAAAAAAGTAAAATACACATATAGTACACTCATTACTTACCTTAAAATACTTGTAGTCTTAATCTAGGGTGAGATGAGTAGTATTTTTTTAAAGAAATGAATGGGTAGGTCCTACCAGGCCCCCCTCCACACATAATCTATAAGTTTAAGCATCCCAAGCAAAAAATGCATATACATTTCCTCATTACTTACCTTAAAAATTTGTATTTCTTAATGTAGGGTCAGAGGTGAGAAAAGAGATAAAACGAATAAATAGGAAAAAAAATACTGAGAGAGGGCACTTGTTGAGTTTGTAAACAAAGTGTACACTCGGGTTTTTGGACAAGTTAAATTGTGTACAAGTTTTTCTCTTTTTGATCGGGAAAAAAATAGGAGGAACACTCCCCTTTTATGTAACAATTTTTTTTGAAGAAAGACACTCTGATAAGGCATACAAAGAATAATTTTTTAAGCTACCCCAGTAACACATTTTCTCTTATGTTGGACTAGAGAAAATGTTTTTTGCCATGATGTACAATTTTTGGCTACCACATCTCATATTTATGTTTTTTACTGTGGGGTGATTTATCATCTTTTTTTTATGTATTGTGTTTTTTTTTAAAATTTAAAAAAAAAAATTTTAGCTGGGTTAATAAAAATGTGTATATTAACGAATATCGACATTTAAAAGACTCGGGGATTTTATTTTATTACTAATATGGATCACTCGTACAAGTCGTCTGGTACCACATCTCTATTTAGTTTATTATTTAGTGGATTATTTATATCTTATATTTATGTATCTTTTTTTTATATAATTTTTGAAAAAATACTACGGTTTAACAAAAATGTGTACTTTAACTAATTACACTTTTAACAAGATTCAAGATTATTTTTGAGTATTATTATCTTATAATATGGCACCCTCGAGACATAAGACACTGATTTAACGGTCCCTGCACGCCAACAGGTGTAATTTATTTGGGACAGGTACACAAGTATATTATCAGAGTAAAAATAAAAAATGAAAAACGTTTAACCCTTTCGGGTTTTTATGTACAGTGGCCGCCGGTTTACGATATTATTTCATTCTAGTGTAGTTCAGGGGGCCATTACTGAACGAAATTTTTTTCCCCTAAGGAAATTTGAATTTAAAGCCATTTAGACCCCCAAACATACTGTACAAACGTACTTCATAAAAACACTTTAAAAATTGGGCCCCACTGGAGCTGACGTAAGCGGGGGGCCACTGTATTGTATGGGTTAGCACCAGGTTTTTGAGACAGAACACCTAAATTCTAGCCCTTCAAACTAGCAAGAGAAAACTGGGGGCCTACAAGAAAGAATGGGTCATGTGGTCGTGTGCGCAGTTTAAAAAAATCCTGCGCAACGTGCGTAATGAGAAAAAAATTTGACTGTTTTTGGATTACAACAGCGCATTTGCACTGTATTTTTGCATGGTATTTATTGTTGTATTCTAGTTTTCCTGGTCTCATTTTAAAGAATGGAAGACATTTTACAGAAATTGAGATGACTTTGACTGGTTTTACAATGAAAAGTACCTTGAAATTGAGCTCAAAGTAGCAGAAATGTTAAATTTTTACCAAAGTTCAAAAGTAAACAAATCATGCCAAGTGTCCAATACACGTCAACTAGTGAGTCTAATATTCTTTCACAAGAGTGCTGATATTATTTATACCATTTCTACACTAATGCAGTAGTCTGCATAACAGGAAATCTTCTATTTTTTGTAAGAATAAAAATTCAAAGTGGAAAGCAAAAGAAATATAAGAGGGGCCTGGGGACATGACTAACGAACAGAGAACTTGTTATTTTAGTGCCAGGAATGTCTGTCTTGTTTATTCTGGACCCTATTTGGAAATTGGCATCTTCTGAAATTTGTGTGAAATTGGCAAAATTGACAATTTGGATAGTTGAAATTGGTAAATGGGTGGTTTCTTGTACTCATTCGATAGAAAAAATGGAGTTGTAGTGAAATAAATATGATTTTTCTCGACTAGTACACAAGAATTGGCTGAAAATAGGGCTCAAAGTGGGCGAAATCGCAGATGCGTAAACACTGTCGAGACCACTAACTTCGCAAGAGCATGATTCCATAAGTTTTCCATCAAATTTCATACTTTTGGTGTCATTATGATCGGGAAAAGATTCTCTATCATTTCATAAGAAAAAAAAAAATTTTTTTCCGAAAAATTTTCGACCCTGAGAACAAGTTTAGGAGAGGGCCTCTCGACCCTGAAAGGGTTAAAAACACTTGAAATTTTGGAGTTTCTAGACACAATGGAGAGATTTGGTGCTTATGGAGCTCATGGAGAATGTAAACAAACAGGGTGGGGTGTGGTGACCATATTAGAAAGTCAGGTGGGGAGGGGCCATACAGAGTGTTTACGTCATAATTTGAAATGACTGTATTAACGGAACGCCATAAAGCGAAACGCCGTAAAATGGGGCCTACTGTATATATACACTCAAAAATTCTAGCAGCTTCAAATCAAGCTGGAGGTAATTCTTCACACTAGGGCCAAACACTTCATTGAACCACTCGACGAAAATTTCCCTCGTGACCCATGCTTTATTATTAGATCTCCAAAACACACAATTTACTCTTCATAACAATGTTTTTTTTGAACACTCTGGGATTTTCAGAATGGTACACTAGTAACGGCTTCACTTTGAAATCCCCACTAGCATTAGCACAGAACATGAGCGTCAGCCTGTCTTTCATAGGCCTGTGTCCTGGCAGTCCCTTTTCCTCCTGAGTAATGTAGGTCCTCTCTGGCATTTTCTTCTAAAAGAGGCCTGTTTCGTCACAATTGAACACTTGTTCAGGTTTCAGTCCTTTAGCCTCTATGTACTCCTTGAATTCACTTACGAATTTTGTAGCTGCAATTTTGTCCGAACTGGCAGCCTCACCATGCCTTATCACACTGTGTATGCCACTATGGTTCTTAAATTTCTCAAACCAACCTTTGCTGGCCTTAAATTCACAAATATCAGTACTCGTTGCATGCAGTTTCTTTACCAGATCATCATGCAACTGCCTAGTCTTTTCACAAATAATCGACGTCATAAGACTATCTCCTGCTAATTGTTTCTCGTTTATCCACAACAATAATAACTTCTCAACCTCTTCGAGTACTGGTGATCTCATTTTTGTCAGCATATTTACCCCCTTTGCAACAACAGCTTCCTTGATTTCCTTTTTCTTGGCCATGATGGAAGATATGGTTGTACGGGATTTGTTATACATCCTGGCCAGTTCGGCCACATGTACGCCACTTTCATATTGTTCAATGATGTTTTTCTTAAATTCAATCATATTTCTCACTTTCTTTACCAAAGGCTTGGCACTAGGAGCTTTCTTTGGAGCCATAGTAGCTTATTTAGTACTTGCAAGCACTAAAATGAATGGAATACAGTGGACCCCCGCTTAACGATCACCTCCCAATGCGACCAATTATGTAAGTGTATTTATGTAAGTGCGTTTGTATGTGTATGTTTGGGGGTCTGAAATGGACTAATCTACTTCACAATATTCCTTATGGGAACAAATTCGGTCAGTACTGGCACCTGAACATACTTCTGGAATGAAAAAATATCGTTAACCAGGGGTCCACTGTACAGTGTATTATGAAATATTTCGTATGAACAAGTGAGGGGACCGTCGCTCACTGGTAAACAATGGCACACTGGCTGGGAAGGGAGGCCGAGACAGCTCAGAGCCGTGAGTACGCGTCCAGGATGAACGACGATTAGCGAGTCAACCGACCATTTGCGAGCCAATGTTTGGATGAAAATAACGCAACGATTTCCGAAAAGGACAATTATCGAGCCCGACTATTATTGAGGGACCACTCTATTTAAGTAAATTTTTTTTTAATAGTTAAACTTCAGTTTATAGCACACACAAACACACCACAATAAATATAAAATAAAAATACTAACCGTGTATTGTTAAAACCACTCTTGGGATGAACGTTGGTGTTTGTGGCGTTTGTGGTGTTGGAGGGTGTTGGACCGAGGATGGGTTTTGATTGGAAGATGGACTAAGAGGACCTTGACCTGGGGATGGAGGGTGATGTGAAGGTATGGACTGGACAGGAGATGGAGGGTGGTGTTGAGGATGTGTAGGAGACTGATGCTGTTGCTGCTGCTGTTGCTGCTGCTGCTGTTGTTGCTGCTGCTGTTGTTGTTGCTGCTGCTGCTGCTGCTGATGTTGATGTTGTTGTTGTGTTGTTGTTGTTGTTGTTGTTGTTGCTGTTGTTGTTGTTGTTGTTGCTGTTGTTGTTGTTGTTGTTGTTGTTGTTGTTGTTGTTGCTGCTGCTGTTGTTGTTGGTGATGCTGCTGAGACTGTTGTTGTTGTTGAGACTGTTGTTGGTGGTGAGCAGGTGAAGTTGGGCTGTGCTGAGGGTATGGAGGTGGTGGACCCGTAGGCTGGGAATGGGATTGAGAGTGAGCAGATGAAACATTCTGAGAAAGCGTCTGAGTGTGTGCTTGGCTAGTTGGGATAGGATATGCTGGCGAGGGACCGCTGGGACTTGAAGATGGAGTATTACTATAATAACCACTTCCCCCACTGCTTTCTAAACTCATATCCATCATTCTAGTCTGTAATGAAGAAAACGTTTTTTGACAATGACATCAACCAATACAGGAGTAAAATTAACGATATAGTAATGTTTTTATTATAAGAATAGAACAACTTGAACAAATTATTAAAAGCTTCAAAATTAGCTGTTTTTAGGCTTCTACGATAATGACAAAAATATACATATTGTAATACTTGGATCTATAAATTTAACAACTTAAAAGAGGCACAATGCGGTGTCATACCTGCTGTTGCATATTATTGTTTCCACTAGACGCATAGCTACTGTTGGAACCTGGAGAGTTATCAATCTGAAGAAATAATAAATTTTAGGCTTAAAGTTTTATTTAGTCTTTGACTTAAATTGTAAACATATAATCATGAGAGGCTTAAGTTACACATCACAGCTAAGTCCTGTTGCCTCAATCATAAGAGCACTAAGCAAAATGTGCATTTATGCTCATGTACACAATGTAATATGTGCTTACCTATTTGTACTGTGCTTACATTAGCAGAGTAATGCTTATGGGATCTTATCTTCAGTTTCCAGTACTTAGATATTTTTTAAAATAATGGAAGCTACAAGGCCCAAAAGGGTCGTTCAGCGATAAGAAAAAATCCAGTATTTGTAGCATATACATTCTACCTCCTTTAGAATTGCATTCATTATTTATGAAGAAATACTGTCCAACATTTGTGGCTTCTTGTTCTTTTTAAGAGTGCTAAAATACTTCCCTTTGATAAAGGAAAACGGTATTTTTTTGGCTACCATGGCTCAATGACTTCCCAAAAATAGTCTTAAGATCTTGTGTGACCAATTTTGAGGATTCTTCTACCCTTGCAGCATCACCTAAGGCCAAGTTTCCTTACTGCTTGATTAACTGGGCTGTTGCTGTTAGTAGCCTTCAGGCCCACATAGCCATCACAACCTTGACTGACCTAGCACTTGGATGAGGTAGCGATCAGGTTTTCTTTTGAAAACTTCTACCTTTGTTCTGACAATATTCCCGACTGATAGTAGCCGGTTAAAAAATCTAGGGCCACAAATGTTGATAGTGATGTGCTCTTGTAGTCTTAAGTTAGGCTTAAGCTTGCCCAAAATGATCTGCATAATTATGAGCTTTCAACATGCGTTTAAGTGTCACCCATTTCTGTATAAACAGCGTATCCTGTCGAAATAAATTTGTATAATTGTGTCCAAGGCATCCTTGCTTTGCAATGAGTTCATTCTATATTTTCTCCTGTATCTCTCACTCCAGTAAGTTGTTATGGTAAAATGCAGATTAGGGGCCTGGCCCTTAACCCTTTCAGGGTCCGTCCCGTAGATCTACGGCTTTACGTTCAGGGTCCAAACCATAGATCTACGTCATGAGCTCAGCTCACTCTGATAAACTGTGAGTGGTACATTTGGGCCTAGATATGAGAGAATACATCTATGTGGTATGTGTGCACCACATAAAACAGATCCTGCAGCACACTGTGTATAATGAGAGAAAAAAACTGAAATCATGATTTTTCGATTAAAACAGCGACTTTGCAGTGTCTTTTCGTATGTTTTTTATAGTTGTATTTGCGATTTCTTGGTCTCATTTGATAGAATGGAAGATATATTACAGAAATAGAGATGATTTTGATTGGTTTTAGCACTGGAAATGGCTTGAAACTGAGCTCAAAGTAGCGGAAATGTTAAATTTTTGCCGATATTCAAGAGTAAACAAACGACCTCACACGTCTAATACACGTCAGCTGGTGGGTCTAATATACATTCACAAATATGGTGATGATATTTATACAATTATTACAGTATTGCATAACAGTAAATCTTCTATTTTTTGGTGTGAATAAAAATTCATTATGTGAATAAAAAATCAAAATGGAATTTATTTGTAAAGCCTCAAAATGTAACTAATGAACAGAGGAAATGTTAGTTTAGTTCCAGGAATACCTACATTGTTTATTCTGGAGCCTATTTTGAAATTGGAATATTTTGAACTTTGTGTTAAATTGGCCAAATTATCAATTTCCGATCACTTTATTTTGTAGTTGAAACAGTTGACTTGACGATTTCTTGTGCTCAATCGATAGAATAGAAGTAATACTAGTGAAATAGCTAAGAATTTGGTTGATTGGAATAATGTAATTGGCCTGAAATGGGAGTCAAAGTCGGCAAAATCGCCGATTCGTAAATATCGCTGACACATCAAAATTCGCGAGAGCATAATTTCGTCAATTTTCCACCAAATTTCGTACTTTTTGTTTTATTACCTTCACAAAAAGATTCTCTACGATTTCATAAGAAAAAGTAACAATTTTTTTTTTTTTAAATTCTTGGACACTGGTGCGTGACTTCAGATTTTGGCCTTGGACCCTGAAAGGGTTAATGCATTCAATGTTACAACCCTAAATTAACTCTCTTATTGTTGGGACCCCTGAAATTAACCCCTTGACTGTCGCAACCCCAAATCCTGAGGTATCTCTTGGTGTCACAAAAAAAAAAAAAAAAAAAAAAAAAAAAAAAATCTTATGAAATGATAGAGAATCTTTTCCCGATTGTAATGACACCAAAAGAACGAAATTTGATGGAAAACTGACGGAATTATGCTCTGGAAGTTAGCGACCTCGGTGATATTTACCAATTGGCGATTTCGCCCACTTTGAGCCTCTATCGATCGAGTACAAGAAACTGCTCATTTACTGATTTCAGCTACCCAATAAAGTGGTCAGAAATTTGCAATTTGGCCAATTTCACGAAATTAAAAAAATGGCAATTTTAAAATAGGGTTCAGAATGAACAATGCAGATATTCCTGGCTCTAAAATAACATTTTCTTTGTTCATCAGTCACATCTCCAGCCCCCTCTGATATTACTCTTGCTTTCTATTTTGAATTTTTATTCAAACAAAAAATAGAAGATTTACTGTTAAGCAGACTATTGCAATATTGTAATAATTGTATAAATAATGTCAACCCATTCATGACTGCATATTAGAATGGCTACTTGGACATTTATTGGAAAATGACATCATTTGTTTACTTTTGAACATTGGCAAAAATAAAAAATTTCCCCTACTTTGAGCTCCATTTCAAGGTTCTTTTCATAAAAACCAATAAAAAGTCACCTCTATTTCAAATATGTTTTTCTTTCTATAAAATTGAGCCAAAAAAAACGAGAATCAACCATAAAACTATACGAAAATAACCAGGGAAGTCGAAAATTTAAATTTAAAAAAAAAAAAAAAGTCGAGTTTTTTTTCTCATTATGCACGGTGCGCAGATTTTTTTTAAGGTGTACAGACCACACAGGGCCCCATTCTCTCACATGTGGGCCAAACCCCTCTCCTGCTGATTTGAACCCAGAATTTTTTAAATATACGTATATAAGTCAAAAACGGTGGCCGTAAACGTATTATATGACCCAAACAGTCAAATTTAACCCTTTGACTGTTTTTGTGTATACAGTGGAAACCTCAAAAATCGAAATTAAACCCTTTCCCGGAGCTAGTTCTAATTTCAAAAGTCTGAAAAACGAATCAATATTTTCCATAGAAATAATGGAAATACAAAAAATCCGTTCCAGAAAAACCCAAAAAAATTCACACAAAAAATACATTTTATAGAGATTAAATTTCAGTTTTAAAATCAACAAATACTATAGTTCTTAATTTAAAGTAAGTAATACAGTGGACCCCCCCTTAACATATTTTTTTCCCCAGAAGTTTTGTTCAGGGGCCAGTACGACCAAAAATTTTTTCCCAAAAAAATATTGTGAAATAGATTAGTCCATTTCAGACCCCCAAACATACACGTACAAATGCACTTACATAATTGGTCGCATTCGGAGGTAATCGTTATGCGGGGGCCCACTGTACATATAAAATAACATTTTTACTTACTTTTATTGAAGATTGGTGATGGCAAATGGAAGATAGGGAGGAGGAGAGAGGGAGTTGGGGTTAGTGTTTGGAAGGAGAATCCCCCTTCATGAGGACTTCAGGTAAAGCCCTCTCTGGGGTTACTTCCCTTCTCTGTCTTTTAATGCAACTAGGACCAGCTTGAGTCACTGGACCCCTGTCTCACAAAATAACTGTCCACAGTCCTCTGTTTCTGGCGCTGCTTTAACATTTCCCTAAAATGGGACATGGTTCTGTCACTGAACTTGTTGCAAAGATGGCTTGTTTCAGCTTGCTCAAGGTGGTACTTCTGCACAAACATTTGGACATCATTCCACTTGGCACAAATCTCCTTAATCTTTGAAGAAGGCACCTCATCCACTCCCTATTCCTCCTCCTCTGAAGCAAGTTCCTCAGCTGTGGTCTGATACTGCTCCAGATGAAGCTCTTGCAGCTCTTCAGTGGTTAGCTCTTCCCTGTGGTCCTCCACCAACTCTTCCACATCCTCACCACTCACCTCCAACCCCAGGGTGTTCCCCAATGCCACAACAGAGTCCACAACAGGCAGAGGGTGAGCTGGGTCAGGGTCAGGGTCAGCCTCAAACCCTTCAAAATCCCTCTTTTGGACACAATCTGGCCACAATTGTCTCCAAGCAGAGTTCAAAGTCCTGGAAGTCACTCCCTCCCAAGCCTTACCTATAAGGCTTATGGAGTTGTAGATGTTGAAGTGATTCCTCCAGAACTCTCTTAGGTCACTTCAAAGCACTTTTCAAACACTGCTTTTGTGTAGAGTTTTTTGAAGTTAGAAATGACCTGCTGGTCCATGGGCAGGAGGAGAGGAGTGATGTTAGGAGGCAAGAACTTCACTTTTATAAAACTTAAGTCCTTAGACAAGAGGTCTAATAAGTTTGGAGGATGAGCATGAGCATTGTCCATTAACAGGAGGCACTTGAGTGGCAATTTCTTTTCCTGGAGGTATTTTTTCACACTGGGGCCAAACACTTCACTGACCCACTCTTTGAAAATTTGTCTTGTGACCCATGCCTTATGATTAGCTTTCCACAAGACACATAACTTGTTCTTAAAGACATTGTTTTTCTTAAACACTCTGGGATTTTCTGAATGATACACAAGTAAAGGCTTCACTTTAAAATCACCACTAGCATTTGCACAGAACAAAAGAGTAAGCCTGTCTTTCATAGGCTTGTGTCCTGGCAGTGCCTTTTCCTCCTGTGTGATGAAGGTCCTTTTTGGCATTTTCTTCCAAAACAAGCCTGTTTTGTCACAATTAAACACTTGCTCAGGTTTGAATTCTTCACTGTCTATGTACCCCTTAAACTCCTGTACAAACTTCTCAGCCGCCCGTTTGTCTGAACTGGCTGCCTCACCATGTCTTACAACATTGTGTATGCCACTACGCT